TGGGAATAAAGTTGTCACACCACACATGACAAAGAATTTGATAATCTTATAAAATTAATAGATGGTGCAGATTTTCTAATGAAAAAGGGTATACTTTCAACTGTTTATATCAAAAATATGCCGAACTTGGTGGCAAAACTGGTAGGAAAATCTTAATCGAAGATTACTGTCTGTAGGTTAATCGAGAAGGTGAAACATTCATTTTACTTGATTTTTTGGGATTTTCTCTCCTCGTTTCTTTGGACGGTTCGGCAACGAATCTGCTCCCGTTCTCAACATGAAAATGCAACTTCCAAAGAAAAATGTTTCGCATTTTTATGTTGGGAACGAGAGTAGATTCGTTCCCGAAACGTCCAGAGGAACGAGGAGAGTAAATCTCGAAAAATCAAGTAAAATGAATTCATCGAAGAAATCAGAAAGCACTACGACAAGGAAATAGAAATTATCAAATAAATCAAAACGTTCTAATGAGTCGTAATTTGTGATTCCAAAAGTGACAAAAACTCATCTGATTCAAACACATATAAAGAACAAAGTGAAATTTCAGAAGATGAATCCCCTGTCTTTGTATGCATCAGATATGACCCAGATACACAATTTTTTTTGAGATATTTATCAAGATATGAGAGATATTCCAGATTATAAACAACTCAAAAATATGGATGTCAAGGCTTACAAGGATATAATGCCAAAAAAACTTTTTTTGAATTAGTTGCCTTATACACGATAAAGTTATTTCAGTTGATTCAAAGGTGTTGAGTATCTGATGTCAAGGTATAATACTCGCTAATTCGAAATTCAAAAAACTCACACCGAAACACGTTGGTTTGGGAGTAATGATTCATCAAGAGACATGGTCGAAAAAAATTATCGTAGCTTTGTGTTCTTGTGGACACTGAATCGTTATCGTATTTATGTGTATTTACAACTTCGCAATTCGATGTGTATCAAATGATGTTTTTTTCAAGTTTCCACAAGGATATCTTATTTTTATTTCAATATTATATGCATCATGTTTTGTTTCAATATTTGTCAATTTGTTAATGAATGAGATGGTTGACATTTTACTCTGATGGATAATAAATATACTTTCGAGATAGAATTATTCATAAAATAAATGGAGGGCACTTCCAATCAAACAGCAAGTTAAAATAAACTTCTGTTAACTTGGAAAATAGCGATCAATTCCATTTCTCCCGTGAATTCCAAGATCGTACTATTCTTAACACTCAGTAATTCATATTTACGGTGGTCGTACTAGGACGGCTGCGGGCGTTGCGGGGAGAATCGGGGTATGAAAGCGGCGAGTCGCCGTCCTTCGTACTACCTGCATTGTATTATGATTTTCCCAATATCTTCCTTATTTATGCTTCGATTTTCAAAATCGAAGTACCATTCGCATCTTGAAACATAGGCGCATCGACATTATTTCGAGTATTTTTTTGATGAACGTTGTAGTTACTGAGATAATGCGAGGTATATGAAAAGCAATTTAACGTAAATTTACAAGTTTCGAGTTATAGCCGTTTGAATTATGATTTTCTCATATATCGTAATGTAATTGGTGAATTTCAAAATTTTCTATAATTTGTTCTACTTGTCACACGAAATCAAGATTCGACAGGGTGGAAGTTCTGGAACCCATCAATATTTTCCACGAATAAAAAAAAAATCCATATTTTTTTATAAATTACCCCCTACCCCCCAAACGCACAGGACGATTTTTTGACGACAAGTGGATCCATGATCTGGAGATGGTAGGTAACAATTCTAGACATGTCACAGCTTTTTACCTCCGATTTCCCACCAACTTTTGATCTAAGCGACTTACGGTTCGTTTGGCACTCTACTAATATGGAACGTGATGTCTAGGTACTGACAGGGATACCTCTTCTTCTCGATTAATTTGGTTTCTAAGTATATTCCTACAATATGTTCTTTTTTGTCATTTAGAGAATTGCGTATAAAGTTCCACATTGAGAGATAAAAACGAAAGACTGAACAAGTTCAACCATAACTTGAGCTCTTCTATGTGCTCACATAGGCTACACTATTTTTCGGAAGATATTTTAGAAAAAATATGCCTTATTGGCCTTCAGGGCTAATTTTGTGATTTTTTACTTTGACATTGACCTACTCACGCTCTATAGTAACGCCAACCGGTGAGACTGAGAATGTTGGCCTTCCTTCGGTGTTTACCCAAGTCGCCATTTTGGTCTGTCACGTGTCATTTCCGTGACCTCTATTGCCTCAATCAATTTCCAACAAAAAATTCAATATCTTTTTTATGCAACCAACCCAAACGTCGTCCATTTCAATACCAAAATTAGCTCTTGAATTGACACTTCTATTACTGAAATTTAGCTCCTAGGAACTAAAAAGGATATACTAGAGGTCATCAAGAATAAACAAGATTGTTACGGTTGGTTATTTGGGTTGGGCGCATAGACCTGGTTTGTTCCCGATTTCGGCAGATTTGGCATTCCATACCCATGCTGGAGATAACATATCAGGAAAGCCTTCAAGATTCACATACATTGCTTGATTTGTATTTCATTCATTCTCGGGATCTGATTGATTGGATAACTTGTTTTTGAATAATCACGGCCAGCAATACTTTTGTGTCTCACACAACGATATTGTTTATCCTCATTTGATTACCGAGCCAAACACAGCGGAATGTTGAATATGGAGAGGAATAAATAATCGCTATTATTGCTATTAGGGCTGACACCTGGTCCAAATGAATTCATCGATTCAATAGAATACACAAATGGGTTACTCTGTGGTTGTATTTATATTGAAACTACAATTCGAACATCTTGCCTTTGTGTATAGATAACTATTCTTGTTAATTCAAAATCCCAAGCAAACTATATTAAGTGTATTATTCCAGATTTTTTGGGATCTTCTCTCCTCGTTTCCATATAAGGACAAAGGACAAATCAGATGAATTGCCTCAAAATGTCACTGCGTTTAAAGAAATTTCATATCAGGGATCCTAGCTTGTCAGAGACGATTTGTATTGAAGAAAGTTTGGAGAAGAGGAATAAATGAATATAGAATAATATCAAATTTTTACTAAGCTTATTTGGACGTTTCGGGAACGAATCTGCTCCCGTTTTAAACATGACAAAATGGATTTTTTTGTATTGCAAATTCATATTTGTCCTGACACTTTTCAGTTCCCATTGACAATTGTTGACGTTGGCAATCATATGAGTTACAGAATGTTTTCATTAATAAATCTTGAATTTACCATTTTCATCTTCAGATTCCAATAGTGAATACCATGTTATATCTATATCAACCGAACAGGAAACAATGCTATTATCTCCGTTCAGAAGATAATGCAAGCAGATTCCTTGATTTTTCTCTTCTGGTTATTATCTTCTTTTCCAATGACTTTAATATTATTCCACTCTGCCATATGTTGTCCATCTTCAGTAAGGATATGTTCAGCTTGTATCGATTTGTCGATGTGTCTTTTCTTTATATTTTATTTACGTTCCTTCGTCCTTACTGAAAGAGGTCTCTTGGTTTTCCACAAACACGTGGTATACTGTATATTATACATTTTTTTTACGATTGTTCTTCATTTTTGGTATTGTTTGAGTTAGAATTGATCTCATTGTATTTTCAGTTTTGAACACAGTTTTCACCATGAGACATCTTTCAAGGAATCTGCATGCATTCTTCTGAACGGAGACAATAGTATTACTTCCTGTTCAGTTTATATAGATAGAACATGGTATTCACTACTGAAATCTGAAAACGAAAATGGTGAATTCAAGATTAATTAATGAAAACATCCTGTAACTCATTTGATTGCCAACGTCACCAATTGTCACTGAGAACTGAAAAGTTTTGAGACAAACACGAATTTGCTATTCAAATATCCATTTTTTATGTTGAAAACGGGAGCAGATTCGTTCCCGAAACGAAGTGATTCGATATGTTTTCTACATACCTTTATTTCTCTTCTCCAAACCTCTTTCAATACAAATTGTCACTGGCAAGCTTTTAGGCTTTCTGATAGGAAAATTCTTCAAACGCAGTGACATTTTCAGGCAAATCAGTATGCCCGATATTGTAATGTCTGGCTCCACCATCCCCACCAAGCCCACCATATCTATGCTTGGTATTTCCATCAGCAACACTCTTTCATGGCATAATCATGTCAGATCCATCGCAAAAGCTGCTTCACAAAAACTCGGATTCTTGTTCCGTGCGAAAAGCTACTTTACACCTCAACAGCTTCTCATGATCTACAAAGTGCAGATACGGCCTGTTCTAGAATACTGTTCCCACATATGGGGTTCAGAACCAAAACATACGCTGATGCTCTTAGATTCCATCCAGAGAAGAGCCATTCGCCTGGTGGGTGACGCCACACTCACTCACTCTTTGACATCATTGGAACACCGTAGAAAGGTCGGCGACCTTTCACTTTTCTATCGATACTTCCACGGGAAATGTTCTTCGGAAATCTCTGCTATCATCTCTTCACTAGCAATACCAATCAGACGAACTAGACAAGCCCAGTCAGCACATCCTTTCGTTGTCAACCTCGAAAGATGTCGAACAGCACTTTATCAAGACTCCTTCATCCATAGAACGGCTAGGCTCTGGAATTCATTGCCTGTGGAAGTATTCCCAACAACATATAATCTCCAAAAGTTCAAAACAAATTCCAATACCTACCTCCTGTCCCTATCCTTCCTAGGAACGCACGATGTTCTTTGAACATTATAGGGATTCCCTTTCGTGCGCTCCAAGCGATAAAAAAAATAAAAAATTGTCCTTACTACACGTATATTGAAATGATATTCATATTTTCATTTTATAGAAACGAGGAGAAAAAATACCAAAAAATCTGGAATATAATGAATGTACCACCTCCTCGATTAACCTACAGACAGTATTTATATTAAGTGTATAGATGATAAGTAGGGTCATCCGTTGTGAAAAAGCCTTCCGTATATGTAACCGTCTTATAGATTGGTCCTTTGCACGGTCAGGTCCTGTTAGAGCTGAGCGACCTCGAGCTGGAGTGCGGCCTCGGTCTAACCCACCCCATGCACAGAAAAAAAATAAGGCTGGCCATCGAGGAGCACCGCAACCCAGCCATGATCAGGTACCCGGGCATCGCCCAGCTGGGCCACACCTGGGTGTGCGGCGAGTGGCTGCCCGATCTGGGGCTGTCGCAGGTTAGTTTCACCATTAGAGCCAAGCCATAGCACCACTATACGAGAAGCATATTTACGTTACCTATACAGCTAGCGCGATAGGTCGCTCTCACAGCATAGGCATTGGAGTGCATACTGGAGCACTCCGTGTTCTAGCTGAAATGCGCTATAGGTATATCCAAACGACTAAGGACTGCCCTGTGGTGCATGGGTCAGGACTATTTACAGATTTTGTTTTCCACACTGATTTTCAGTCTGAAGAAGACATAATTTGACAATGAAACGGAAGTTTATTCATGCGGAATATTCAACTATACAAAAAATATAAATAAAATATATCGTGGGACCATTAGAAATGCTTTTCAGTTTCAGATTAATTTTTTTTTCCTTACTGGTTATAAAGAATAGTAAACGAGGAACATAAAGCATAGAACGAAGCTTCGCTATCCATTTTCTTCATCTGCCTATTGAACTTCGTGACAATAGGCAATAGTGCTGGATGAGATTCCACAAAGCTGCTAACATTTTTCAGTTGTCTTTGAATTCTTTGAGTACGACTGATCCATCTGTTTCAGTTTCGTTCACTTCAATGGAAACATTATTTTCTTCATCAGGAGTCGTCTCATTAAGGCCATCTTCTGTTCACAACGTCATGGGTTCGCCAGAGTCTGCAGTAATCCCGTTATCTTTTTCTTTTTCCATTTCTTTGGAGAAGTTGGTTGGAATATTAGGAACGTTCTGCTCACCAGTATTATAAAAAACGCACAGATGCTTGCAATATTTCCCTCCTGCCCCTGCTGGACAGTCACGCACACTTCCAACTTTGTATTTACTTGGTACGAAAGTGTCTGATCTGTAGCTGAAGTAACTATGAACTGATCTTCAAAAACTTTCACAACACGAAGATCAACTGATTTTTTGCAAAATTTCGTAAAATAAATTTTGTTATCCCTGCAGCTAGCATAACGCAACAACTTTTCTTTGTAGAAGTCCTCCATTGATGAAGAGATGAATTCTTAGAGAGTTATTCGGCAACTAATTGCTATAATAGACAATAAACACACGGGAAAGCCGATGCCCTTCGCGCATATCAGCTAGGAATCGGAGTGCTCCAGTATGCACTCCAATCCCTATGCCGTGAGAGCAACCTGTCGCGCTAGCTGTATAGGGAACGTAAATATGCCTGCTATAGCACTCCGTTTCCTAGCTGATATGCGCGAAGGGCATCGGCGTTCCCGCGTGTTATTGTTTATTGTCATCACCAGGACTTCTATTATAAAGAAAAGTTGTTTTACGAAATGTTGCAATAATCGGTTGATCTTCGTGTTGTGAAAGTTCCTGAAGATCAGGTCACAGTTACTTCAGCTGCAGTTCAGACACATTTGTTCCAAGTAAATACAAAGTTGGAAGTGTGTGACTGTCCAGAAGGGGCAGGAGGGAAATATTGCAAGCATCTGTGCGCTTTATATAATACTGGTGTGCAGATGCACAACATTCCTAATATTTTATTACAAGACAAAATAGAAATTGCTACGTTAGCACTAGGAAATATTATCAGTGGTGTCAACTCCTTCAAAGAGATGGATAAAGAAAAAGATAACGAGATTACTGCAGACTTTGACGAACCCATGACGTTGGAAACGGAAGATGGCCTTAATGATGAAGCAAATAATGTTTCCTTTGAAGTGAACGAAACTGAAAGTGATGGATCAGTCGAGCTCAAAGAATTCAAATAAAACTTCAAAAAAAATTAGCAGTTTTGTGGAATCTCATCCAGCACTAATGCCTATTGTCACGAAGTTCAATAGGCAGATGAAGAAAATAGATAGGGAAGCTTCGTTCTATGCTTCATGTTCCTCGTTTACTATTCTTTATAACCAGTAAGAAAAAAATGTAATCTGGAACTGAAAAGCATTTCTAATGGTCCGACGATATATTTTGTTTATATTTTTTGTATATAGTTGAATATTCCGCATCATGGTTGAACTTCGGTTTCATTGTCGAATTGTGTCTTTTTCAGTGTGGACAACGAAATCTGTACATAGTCCTGACTCATGCACCACACAGATCAGTCGTTGGCATATAGAGCGCATTTCAGCTAGGAAACGGAGTGCTCCAGTATGCACTCCAATGCTTATGCTGTGAGAGCGACCTATCTCGCGCTAGCTGTATAGGGAAATATTGCCACGGCGACTATAAAGACATCGTCCACCAATATTAGAATATTGGTGGACGATGATAAAGACAATGAACTCAATGTAAGCACAATGAACACAATATAAACACCTGGAAGGGAGACTGTACCGGTTTCTCGAATAGCACAGAGTGTGTCAGGGACAGCTGCAACAAAGATAGCTTGTGTTACGGTAACCTGTCTCTTTCACACTCGTGTTGTTTAATGGCGCATTGGTGTATACATTTTCTTTATGCACTAGCGGGCGGTAAAGTGCAATTTATCGCCCAGATTTGCAGACGTAAAGTGGTACGACTTTACCGCCGGCGGGCCCATTATCGCCTAAGGGCCATAAAGTCCACTTTAACGCCCGCTGTTCTCATGTCCTTTATAACCACACATCCATTTGTGGAATACCTATTTTTGAATTCTCAGCTGATTCTATCTTTATGGTTATGATGCATGTTATTGTTCATCCGATTCCATCTTCGCTATAACTTTCTTGTTTGAATAGTTGCTTTCTGGCTGTCTGATGTTTTTAGTCGAAAAATGAAAATTTCAGCTTGTTTTTTGGATGTATTGCTAGGCAGCAACCATCAGATTGATTGACAACGTCAAACTTAGGTAGCTATATACTGAGTATACATATTTTCTCAAGGAATAAATCTCTCACGATAATTGCGATATTCGTACGGTAATTTTAATATGTGGATTATACACAAAAACATTGCGCTTCTCTTGAAAACTGAATTTATGAGTAACATATGAATTGTAGTTTGTTGAAATCTAGCCATTACTTGTGTCTCGGGAAATAAACCACTATAGTGCATACAATTTTGTATGTATCACGCGTCGTTCGGCCATCTGCAATCGCGTGCGGAAAAGTGTCACTTTCCGCACTTCTTAGGTAAACTACTATTTTCTACTAACGTGTAAAAAAGTTCACATTTCCGCACTCATTTCAGTGTTGAAAGAGTCACTATTCCGCACTGGATATAAGGGAATCAAAGGTTTCAAAGAAGACGTTTTTTTACCTTATTTCGCCGACATTTCCGAAACATGCAAGCCAAACACTCTTTGGTCCAGGTACTCAATGTTAAAAAGTGTAATCAAACTAAAAAAAACTCGATTTGAGCATGTTTTTCAAGGTCTCGGCATTTATAAAAAAACAAAACATTGGATTTAGGCCGAAAAAGGAAAAAAAATCTTGAAAGACGAAATTTTCCAGTTTATAAATGAAGCACCTGACGAAATTTATCTTCATAAAAGTATTTAATAATAAATGTTTCTTCATGTTAACACTTGGGTTTTTTCCGCACACTATAGTAGAAAAAATAGTGTGCCTAACACGTGCGTCAATTCCCGCACTTGTTAGGTAAACTACTATATCGCGATGATGAAAAAAATCCGTTTTGAATACTCTTGTTTCAGTATTCAGAAAACTTTGCTGTTAATATGGTTGATGCCAGAATGTTGGAACATTTGAGCAAGAAGGAGCTAGAGAAATATTTAGCAGTTACTAGGAAGTTCCATCAAGCTTCCATAGTGCATGGCATTCACTTATTACGAATAATGAAATATGATAGACAGGTGAGTTTTCTATGTTCTACTGTGTGTTTGATTCATGAAACCAAAGGTAATTAGGCAGTAGTGGACTCATGTGTTACAACACACGCCAGCCAGACATGGTGAAGCTTCCCCGGCCCTGCAGTTCATCACTTAAAGATTCGATGATTTATAATGACCTAAAAATGTACAATTATCTCCAAAATATAGATAAATCTACCTCTGATATGGAAAATTTAGAGAGGAATTGAAAAACGTATTAGTCCTTTATGCGTTCTACAGGGTATCTCACGAAGAGCGTACAGTACAGTTCACTACAGTACAGAGGAATCCAAGAAAATACGCTGTCTCCATTCAAAACATTTTCGACAATGCAGTGTTGCCGCTTTTACTAGGAAGTAGTAGCAACATTGATAATTCAAATAGAACACCTTGTATTTTGCCTCAACTTTTGATCCACTATTCACTGATATTTAATCGGGACAGATACAGGGTGGTTCATGATTCAGAATTCTGATCACCTTGTATCTGTTCCGATTAAATAACAGTAAACAGGAAATCAAAAATTGAGATAGGAACATGTGAGCCGTTTTGGTCCATAATGAATAGTTTCGACACAAACAAATCCCGAAGTTGAAAAATCTCGATATCTCTGTGTAAATAATCTCAATAGACCCCAAGTGTGATGCATCGATGAAATCAGCTCTTCAAGGAGAAAAGTTGCTTCGGTTGCGAGATACAGTGGTGAATTTAAAGAATAAAAATCAAATCTTTCAGAATTTATGAACATTTTTAAACGTATAAAACTACAAAAATGGATATTTGTAGTTTAATTGGTATGCGATACACTTTTACGGGCACCATATCACTGTGGCCATTAGAGGACGCTTACCGATACATTTCTCATGGTTTAGAATAATCATCACTTTTTTCTCAGCGTAGTTCCTAACTTCATTCGTTGAGGAAATATTTTTCTGGACATTTTCATGCAAAAAAGATAAAATCAAAAAAACGTTCGTCGATATCAGTGCATTGAAGTCGAGTGCTCATTTAATGTATAGTTGAGACAGAATGTAACAAAATTGGCCCCCGAATATGATTGTATATCATTTTTCATTATAGCAAATCGATAATTCTTATAGAGCTGACAAAAAAACTGTGTGTTAGTTTATTTTATGAAATTTTTATACCAGTATCCCTACTTCATAGTTCATAGTATCTTTTGGGGGATAGAGGAGAAGCGAAACCTACAGCTGATGGTGGATATGAACTAATTCTAGAGCACCGAAATACTGACTTTATATGAATATAATCTCCAGTTTTGAGAAAATTATATAAAACAATTAATTGTTGAAAAAAAAATCTCGGAAATGTTTTGAATAATGACTTTCACTGACCCCTTTCAGAAGTGAATTTGTTCCTATGTTGTATCACGTTAACTTTGAGACACCGAGTATAATTTATTTTCAGGCGCTGGCTCTTCGAAGACATCAATGTGAAAATGTGGATGCCGATCCATTAGTTTGGACAAATCAAAGATTCATAAGGTGGGCCAGAAGTATCGATTTGGCTGAATACGCTGAAAATCTTAAAGGTATAGATGCTAGAAATTTTTTATTGAATAGAAAGAAAAGTCAAAAAATTGGTGAATTAATTTATTCAAAAGAGTGTGCATGAAACTTTGGGCCAGCTCAAAACGTTCCATCTTTAAACTCGCACATACGTTTGTGGTACATACCAGACATCAGAAATTCTAGGTAAAAATCGTTTCAATAGAATCGTTTCCATAAGGATACATCTGAAACGTTACATAACTGTTTATGTATTCATCCAGATAAGTTTCAAAAGCAATATGAAACATACTGTCAAGAAGTACAAACACCTATGGAATAAAATCACTCAAACTCGCGTTGATTTCAAGATCTTTAATTATAAGTTACCTTTTCCATCCAGTACAGTGTAGTTTCGATCAGGTCAGCGAAGTTCATAGACGTCTATTCCTGTAGAATTTGCGAAAACCGCTTACCGTGCGATAATGGTGAGCAATAGCAAACCTAGCATCGATTCCGAATATAAATAATACCCGAGTCGATAAGGCATTATCATTATTAACTGCTGGTCAACCCCATTCTAGACGTTGTAATGTAAGTACTGTTATTTTCAAGTGTTGTTTTGCGTTGTCTTTCATTTGGCAAGCCATTATGTTCTTTTTTCTTTGCTAACCTTCCATGTGGCAAACATTTATCCACGATTTTTCCATTTAATCAATAAATGTCAAATTTTATATGGAAACTATCTTGACTCTTTATTTGGGGATGAATGTAGTTGGATGGTGAAATGATCAAAACCTCTCGTCAAAAAACCAAGCGAGTAGCTAAGTTCCCAGCGAGCACAAAAACATCTCAGAGATGTTAAAAGTACGAGATTTCGAGACATTGAACCTCCACTGCGATGTTCTGTTCACACGTGAATAGAACTATTATAGAACAGCCAATGTACGCCGCAGGCGGCAATTATCGAGATATCCTTGATATGTCACAAAACTACCTTCTCCCTAGTTATTTTTAAAGCCTAAATTAGGATTCCATTTCCCTCGAATGAAAAAATGCATTAAAAATAGATTGAACATAAAAATATTTTCTTGAAATGAAATGAAATTAACTTCTCAATCGGTTTCTGAGTAGTGCTTACTACACACAGACATATAATTGGAAATAGGTTTCCCAATTTTTGAAATGTTCTCCACAATGCATAATTTTGCAACTGCGGAGAAGCTTCGTACTTTTATATATTGATTATACTGAGGCACCGAACAACACATCTTGCATCTGATGGTCATTATTACAAACTAAATAAGTCTTATAACACAATAAACTTCACCAAATTCCTTCCTGTTCGTTAGCAGCGTGATGTAAGCGTGACACGCTGCAAACGCGAATGCCAATTGCGAACAAGAAGAACAAAATCGAAAACAAATCAGAATTCATCGTATTGTGACGTAAGCATGAGACGTTGTGGTGGGGCAAACAAAGAAAGGGCACAAAAGAACAAAAACAATACTTTCAATATCCTTCTACGACCTCTTTGGTCAGTGCATATTACGTCTCAAAATAACATCTTCATGCCAACATTTTCAAAACATCCCAAAACATCCCAGGGATGTTTGTGCTCGCTGGGTTACGACCTATAGAAGGGTCAACATCCGAGTTGCGTCAACATAGTAAATCAAAACATTTTGGATTTGGATTCCAAATTTCATTTTTTTTTAGACAGTGGTGTTCACGGAGGGTTGGTTGTGTTGGAGCCGTCATTCAATGGTGACACGATGGCTACTGCCCTAGGGATCCCCGCTAGTAAAAATATCATCCGAAGACATCTGACAGCCGAACTAGAATCGCTAGTACTACCAGCAAGGTACGTCATTTTCTGCCAGCTAGAAGAACTCCAAGCAGAAACTGCAAGAGTTGTTTCGAAACATAGATAAAATATGTCTTATTTGTATTTGAAAAATAATTTATGATTTATTACATAAATTCTATTATATCGATGTTAAGACACGGAATTCAAATCAAAGATATATATATCGAAAAAGTGGTTACGACAAATCAAATTATAGTGAGAAATTCGATTTATATCGATTTGAAATAAAAATGTCCAGCAAAATACTGTCTTGATTTCACATATGAAACACCATGGAAGAAAGAGCGCTTTTCAGATCAGAACATTCGAGTTATGAAAAAACCGAAATGCTGATGATTTCTCTCTTACTTCAGTAAAACATTTTGAAGCATTCAATACACAAACATTCTATGACTGTACATATTTTGTTGTTGTTTGTTTTGCATTGCTTTTGATTAGTATACCGGATGTCCATCAGTTCAAGCTCAACCCCATAAGGTTTAGTACACAGCTCCAAAATTGGAACTTTTCTCCAATGGAATCAAAGAAGTTATAGGAGCAATAAGCCACCTCTTTATTGGGACACCCGGTATATGTATGCATCCTATATGATGATTTGCATGCTGAAGACTTCAAGTTAGTTGATGTTAACAACACTTATGTATTCCCAATTCTTCATCAACCCATTCTGACACAATTTCAATCCAAAATCTTGCTTACCCAGCCTATACATTTCCATATATCAGACGATAATAATAGAAAATTACCGATGAATATTTGGTTGTGAAGAAAATAATATGATACTTATCTGGTTTTGTATAGAATTTAATGAATTTCTAAAATGTGGCAATATTGTTGTATTCCCAACACGCCGTATTTTTCAAGTGCTACATTCGATTCCAATACAAAATATGAATAAATTGCCGTCTGTGGATATGAAACATATTGTAAAATCGCATCCAGACGCCATTTTGAATAATTCATATTTAGGTAATTCATTTTTATTTTTTTCTGGCGTTATTTGTTGAAGAATATCAAAATTGATAGCACATTTTGATTGATTGATGACTTACTATCGAAAGTTTCTTTTTTACGCCATCATCATCAACATTTTTTATGGGCGACATATATTCGCTTTTCATTGATATTGTTACGTTTTTCGGGTGCAGAAGCGAACACGACACTATTTATTTTCGAACTGATTTATTTGAACTATAGAAACACTAATTTATATCGAACTTATAACTACTATTTATGTAAAACGATTTATAACACGCGGTATATAACTGTCTCTCTGACACTCGCTGTTTGACTCACTGACAGCAGTTGTTCGGCGGTCTTATATATGAGAACACATGGCAGGCTTTGGTCGAGAACGTTCTCGAATGATTTTCCGTCTCCTTCTTTTTTTCTAGAAGCTTCTTAGAACAAAACATCTCTCTCTAATTGTTCCATCGATTGTTTCCAGAACATTCCAGAATCTTTTGTGACGTTATTTGTCACTGCGGCATATATTGAGTGTTCGGAAATATGCTGGTGTATGTAGGAATCATTGAGAGGTTGGAGAGCAATCGGGGATGCGTGATACAGGATGATCGTTGTACTCCTGCCTTCCTGCTGATGTTTCTAGAGCCCCTCCAAGGGGAATATCATTACACTGCCCCCCTCCTTAAAACGCATTCCTCCTGGAATGCATTCTGATCACTATGAAGATAGGGACAACTGGTTTCATTTCTACAACGTGCAGTATGGTAGAAATAGCATGGCACTGTCTTCTCTCTTGGAGTTCCCTTGGAGTTCCAGCAGCATACCAGAATTTCAACTCCGGTGAATCTAAATAAAACCTCTAGCATGTTCCTTACAATTCTCCAATTCAAGCCATCCAGTCCACACCCCAGCTTCGGAACAGCTATCTTCTGTATGTCCTTCTCGAGTATGATGCTTTGCAAGTCGACTAGTGTCTTCCAGAGGTCCTTGTAAGTGGATTTCTCAGAAGATCTTGCTTTCGTTATAAGATTAAACACAGACCTTTTTCCTTCAGCGCTGATATCTTCTATTTCTAGTGCTCGACCGACGGAGGGACCTTATTGACGAAGCTCCTCTAACTTCCCAAACTTCCTCATGAACTTGTTCGCTATTCCTTGAGACATCTGAAGATCCTCGGCGACGCAGTGAGCTAGTGCGTATTCTACAGGGATGGCAAAAAGGTCGCGGGGCTCTTCCTTGGTGACGCCAAACCTTGCTTTTGATGAACCACTGTATGTCCCAATGAATTCGTCGATTGTAAGCTCCTTTTCTTCCGGACAAATTTGTCGAACTTGTTGATCTTGTGTTCCCTCGAATGGTGCTAGTCTGTTGAAATGAACGACTCTTGGTTTGCCACTGGGTTCTTTACTGATGCGGTATATGACATCGTTGATCTTCTTGTTGACGGTATAAGGTCCTTCCCAAGATCTCTGTAGTTTTGGACAAATACCTCGTTTCCTTTGTGGATTGTACAACCACACCAAGTCTCCTTCTGCGTATCCTGCACCCCCAGCTCTGATGTCGTACCGGTCTTTCATGCGGTCGCTGGCAATTTTCAGATTAGAACGAACCAATTCATGAATATCGTTCATCTTTCTCATCAGATTCGTAACGTAATCTTCCCCTACTATGTCCTCACCAGGTCTACATCCGAAGACCAAGTCACATGGAAGCCTCATCTCTCGTCCAAATAAAACCTTCGCCGGAGTCTGCCCTGTAGATTCCTGTACCGCAGATCTGTAAGCCATCAAGAAGAAAGGAAGATGTTGATCCCAGTCTTGTTGGTGTTGATCTACGACTTTGCAGAGATACCTCCCTATGGTTCGGTTCATTCGCTCCACCATGCCATCTGACTGTGGATGCAATGGAGTTGTTCTTGTTTTCTTGATTCCTAACTTCTCGCTCATCTTCTTAAACACTTCACTCTCGAAGTTCCGGCCCTGATCAGAGTGAAGTTCCAATGGCACCCCAAAACGACTGATGAGTTGATTCATTAGGACATCGGCGACAGTTACGGCTTCCTGGTTAGGGATCGCATACGCTTCCACCCACTTGGTGAAGTAGTCCATGCAGACAAGGATGTATTTATTTCCATTATCAGTCACTGGAAACGGCCCCGCAATATCCATAGCAATCCTCTCGAAAGGGCTTCCAACATTGTACTGTCTCATGGGTGCCCTTGGTTTACGATGAGGCCCATTGCTGGCAAAGCACACGGTGCATTTACGGCACCACTCCCTGACGTCGTCACTGCAGTTCACCCAGTAGAACCGCTCTCGTACCCGCTGCAGTGTCTTCCTCACTCCTAGATGTCCCCCTGAAGATCCATCATGTACATATCCAAGTACTTCCGACACTCGGCTCCTAGGAATGACCAACTGCATCCGATTATCCGACCCATCATCGCTCTCGAGATTCCTCTTGAGCAGGTCATCTTCTAATACCAAGGAGTCCCACTGACTCCAGTACGCCTTCAAAGTCTGTGAAGATGGTGCTACTTCTTGCCAAGAAGGACGACGATTCGCTTTCTTCCATTCTCGAAGCTTGCGAAGTTCTGGGTCCTTTTCTTGCTCTTGCTTGATTGCTGCAGGTAACCAATCTTCATTGACAACGGTAGTTCTGTAGACGGCTGCTTCCTTATCCTCCAAACGACTACAATGTGAGCACTCAGGTAGACATGGCCTTCTGGACAATGCATCTGCATTCTTATAGCTCGTCCCCACTCGGTAAACTGGTCTTTTTGGATCATCCCGCTCTAGTTTTCCTGCAGCTGCTCGAACTGGTTTCTTCTCTTCATCCAAGAGGCCCTTGATGACGTTTATAAGGTCTTCAGTTAGATCTTGCCTGGGACTGTCCGCTATGTTCGTGCTGTCATCGACGGCTTGGAATTTTGTTGCTTCTCGTGTAGCTTCTATCGCGGCCTCGATTTCTAGCGCAACTGCCAGAGCACTGGGAGAGTCTTTGGGTCGAGTCAACCGAACCGCTTTCCGCATTTCCATGTCTCGCAATCCATCCAGGAACGTTTGGACAGCAAGACAGTCTATCAGATACTCAGGAGCTGATGGGTAGGCACACCGAACCAACCGAGCTACTTCCATTTCAAATTCCTGTAGGCTCTCATTGTCTCCCTGTCGACGGTTCTTCATTTGTGATCGTAACACTTGCTGTAGATGTTTTTGACCATAGCGCATGTTGAGGCGTTCGATGAGATAATCGTAGTTATTGGATTTATCTTCCGGAATGGCTTGCAAGATGTTTAGTGCAGTAGAGCTACTGTGAGAGCTACCACTTTGTCTTCTGATGTCCACCCATTGGCTTTGGAAGCTGCTTCGAATTGCTTCAGGTAGTTTGGCCACGATGTTTTTCCATCGAATGTAGGCGGCTTCACTCGATTGGTAGTAACCACTGACTCTTCCATCGCAGCTCTCCTGCGAGATTGTGACTTCAGTTCATCTATTTCAAGGTGCAGTTCTTTCTTCAGATCTTCTATCTGGGTGGTGAATTGGGTTGATACCTGAGCTATAATTTTATCCTGCTGAGATGCGATCTGTTCTTTCTGAGCAGTGATCTGAGTCAGAACCTCTTCCCAATGTGTTGATATCTGGGTCGATACTTCTTCTCGTTGGGCAGATATCTGAGAGGCAATCTGATCTTGCTGAGCAGAAAACTGAGCAAGTACTTCTTTCTGAGCTAATATCTCTTCCCGTTGAGCCGATATCTGATCCAATACCTCTTGCCGTTGAGCTGAGATCTGCGATGCGATCTGATTTTGCTGAGCAGTAATTTGTGCCAGAACTTTTTCTCGCTGAGTTGCCATCTGCTCAGCTATATCCTGTCGCTGAGCCGCAATCTGATCCGTGATCTTCTCCTGCTGAGCCACCATCTGATCCGCCATCTTCTCCTGCTGGGCCACCATCTGGTCCGCAATGTCCTGTCGCTGAGCCGCTATCTGGTCCGTGATCTTTTCCTGCTGAGCCACTATCTGTTCCGAGTTCCCAGCCAACATCGATTCCGCTGAAGCTGGTTCCTCGAAGGTGAACGTCTCTGGATCTTGACCTACGCTCACCATATACTCTTTGAGACGATGCTGAAGTGTAGTCTTGATCCCTGTTGTGTCGAGATCTCTCTCCTCCAACTCGCGTTTCAAGTCCACCACTTTCAACTCGTGTAGTTTCTTCATTGCAACGGTCTGTTCACTTCACACTGGAATATCCCACTTCTGACACCAATTGTTACGTTTTTCGGGTGCAGAAGCGAACACGACACTATTTATTTTCGAACTGATTTATTTGAACTATAGAAACACTAATTTATATCGAACTTATAACTACTATTTATGTAAAACCATTTATAATACGCGGTATATAATTGTCTCTCTGACACTCGCTGTTTGACTCACTGACAGCAGTTGTTCGGCGGTCTTATATATGAGAACACATGGCAGGCTTTGGTCGAGAACGTTCTCGAATGATTTTCCGTCTCCTTCTTTTTTTCTAGAAGCTTCTTAGAACAAAACATCTCTCTCTAATTGTTCCATCGATTGTTTCCAGAACATTCCAGAATCTTCTGTGACGTTATTTGTCACTGCGGCATATATTGAGTGTTCGGAAATATGCTGGTGTATGTAGGAATCATTGAGAGGTTGGAGAGCAATCGGGGATGCGTGATACAGGATGATCGTTGTACTCCTGCCTTCCTGCTGATGTTTCTAGAGCCCCTCCAAGGGGAATATCATTACAATATTAATAGCATGACAAATCTGAAAATTTCATCAAATAGCAGGAAAAAAGTGGCAATGTGAATGTGCTCTCAATTTTGATATTCTCCAACGAATATAACAAAAAAAAAAAGAACATGAACATTTCTGTTTTTTTCGTACATCTCCGGAAATACTCGGAATTCAAGAATTTTCTTGACGGCTCATTAGTCACGTAAATGTGCAACTTTGCCCTAATTTAACCATATTCGTATTTTCTAAAGTTTTCGAGATCCCACTTATTCAATGATGAACTAAAATTGGCTGTTCTGGGAGCTATTGCAAGTCATATTATAGGATTGATTGAATGAATTAACTTCATTGTTCGATGTATGTGTTCAGTATGGTTCGCAGGCATGCTCCAATATATATAGACGCGTCTACTGATCTATACATACCACCGATTTAAATTTCTGTTGATTTTTTGAATGCGCCTGTCAAATGGCCTGATAAAAGGGATTTTCAAAAGAAAAATCGGTTCATACCAACCAGAACTAGGTCATAAGTCAACGCAATTCGATTTGTTTATATAAACGACCTTGAAATTTAGACAATGGGGATGGATTACGGATTCCGGTTGAAATCACTATGATAACCAGTTGATATTCGAATACCCCTCATATTTTACCACAAACTTTCGTAGTCACAAATCACAGAGTACACACAGAGTACACATAGGGCACAAGGCAATATTGAACTATAGCCACCATAACTATAATTTAATAACTATCAGAGTTCCCTTCAAGGATTGTCAGCTGGCCTAGTGCAACTGATGAGGCTTGTAAAACCGAAACAGTATGTCTTGTAGCAATTTATAGGTAACTGAAGGCCCTTTCGAATGAACTATAACTCGACCTACATTCCCATTCACTCAGGGGATTGAATGTTTTGCCATGAATTTCAGAGCAATTTTGTATGATTCACAGAAACACAGAAAAATGTCACATACATAGTTTTCGACCTGATTCTAGTTGGCTAAAACCAATTTTCCACTTGAAAAGCCCTCACGTATTTATGTTTCACATAGAATGCTTGTGTATGCGCACTGCTGATTTCAATGTTTTGATTTTGCACTGTTATGTTAGATCCACACTAGAGCACTATGTTCGGGTTAGGGGCAAATCGAGAGTTATTGGAGGTTCGCTAGGACGCAACTTCTCCAAATCGCAAGTTGGCACCAATGGAACTTCGGGGAATAGAGAAGCGTTCAACAAGGATACCTTGAGAAAATCTAAAGTACGTGTAAGTTGCTAGATTGGAACATAATTGGAGCAGCGAGTATGTACCAACAGACTACCTGATCATAGTTATGTAATTTTTTTTGGATAGGAGAAATATATATCGAAGACTGGAACCTTTGGCACGATAATACACTACACACTGGTTTACCACTAACCAAACCGATTTTTCACGCCCCAACACGTATTTCGCTAACTATGTTAGCCATTTTTCCTCGAAGTTAACCACACAAACCGGGCCAACAATGAGTTAACCAATCAATTTTCCTCGAATTGTATTCCAAACTATGACGTAATAGTTAACCAACCATACAAACCAGCGCACTGAGGTAGTTCACGGAGTAGTTAAGGCTTTTGATTGGCCACTGGATTGGGCTCTTGTTGTTGTTATAATCTGAAATTATATAATTGTTAGGAAAAAATAATTATACTTCTTAAAGAGATAATTATATGGATTCATACGAAGTATTTTTCAATGAAAGATCTCATCATATTGATGAAAATAAATATTTGATTCATTGTAAATATGTGTACGCAGCGAATTGTTGTAGTAGGTAAGCATTGATATATTTTTTTCACAGATGATGAATTTCTCATTCAATATATCAGTATTACTACTAGAATCAAACAATAAACAAAAACAGCTAATAAACTAACATCTGTCAAGCTTCAAAAGTAAACCGTGACGTCATGATAAGGCTACCGTGACGTCATCATAAAGTTGACCTGGTTTGTCTGGTTAGATTCGAGAAAAAATTACTTAAGTATATGTCCACCCGACCGTGAATAGCCAATAACCACCAAGTTAATGCTATTCATGGTTGAGTTCACATGTTATATTACTAAACTATACAGAGGGCTAAATGGGATAGGTCCATTATCCTTATTCATTACTCTATAACTATTCTTTGATATCTCTAAACTTTCATATGCATCTAATTTCCTAACATTATTAACTTGCTTAACTAATTTGAGGTTATTAGTATGTGTTTTCTCATTGTGATTGAACATGTGTTCGGCTACACACGATTTATCTAGCCTACCATATATTTCAAATATGCTAAGTGTTCTTTGAACCTTGTTTTTATGGCACGCCTGGTTTGGCCTATATATGTTTTATCACAATAATCACAACTAATTTCGTATATTCCTGACTTTTATATTGAGTCCACCTTATCTTTTGGATTACCTAATGAATTGCCTAACTTTCTCCCAGACTAATAAACGCTTCAAAAATAAAGTCTCTGAAAACCTTATCAAGCCCTCTTGTGTACTTGGGATTGAGAGGGATTGGGATTCTTCTCGGATTGTTTTCATCCTCTTGAAAAATCGTAGAATTCCTGAGTGATAACTTGAATTCATGTCTACGTATTAATTTATCTACTTTTTTGATATCATAACCATTAACGCCAGCCACTTTATAAACAACACAAGATAAATTGATACGTAGACATGAATTTAAATTATCACTCAGGAATTCTATGACTTTTCAAGCGGATAAAACCAATCCGAGAAAAATCCCAATTCCATTCAATCCCAAGTACACAAGAGGACTTGATAGGATTTTCAAAGACTTAGGTTTTGAAAGCGTTTATCAGTCTGGGTCAAAGTTAGGCAATTTATTAGGCAATTCAAAAGATACGGTGGACACACTTGAAAAGTTAGATATATACGAAATTAGTTGTGATGATCGTGATAAAACATATATAGGCCAAACCAGGCGTCCCACAGAAACAAGGTTCAATGAACACTTAGCACATTTGAAATATGGTAGGTTAGATGATTTCATGTGTAGCCGAACACATGTTCAATCACAATCATAACACACATATCAATAACCTCAAATTAGATAACCAAGTTAATAATGTTAGGAAATTAGATGCATATGAATGTTTGGAGATATCTAAGAATAGTTATAAGATAATAGACCTCTATCCCATTCCCCTAGGATAGATCATTCAGTTTTAATGTTCTCCTGAAGATGCTAGCATAGTTAGCGAAACACGTGTCGAGGTGTAAAAAATCGGATAGGTTAGTGGTAAAACAGTGTGTAGTGTATTATCGTGCCAAAGAGTCCAGTTTTCGATATACCTGATCATAGATTCCAATAATTATGTAATTTTTTTTTTGGATAGGAAGAATATAATTTTGTTTTCATTACTTCTAGATTTACAGTGGACAAGGACAGGCATTCTAGCTAAAGCATGGCGCATTGAAAACTTATTTATTATCTAACCTAAGCGTGTATTATTTGTATATTTGTGCTCGGCAATAAATATAAAGGCTATAAAATATAAAACATGTTTCATTCCTACTATATATATCAAGGGCTGAAGCTTTCCCACGATAATAACACCACACTATTCTCTATTCTAACCATACCGATTTTTCAACTCCTTGGCACGTGTTTCACTAACGATCTTAGCATCATCAGAAGGAGATTAAAACTGATTTTTAATCTTCTCTCTTCTTCTTCCTTCAAATAGTGTCAGAGAAATAAAACTGTTGCTTTTTATTGAAGAATAGTGGTTCTACCATATTTTTGAATGTCTTTTATTCAAATATTGGCGATGATCAATATAACCAATTAGGTTTTCGAATAAAAGTTACCTAATATATGTCTTGAATTGGTTACGGAAAATACTTACAAATGCATATAAATGAAATATAGTTGTAACATATATAACATGAATGCATCAATTGTTTGAGAAATATGCTATAAAACTTTAAAGAACGTCTCGAAATGTTTTCTAGAAATTAGTGTTATTGCATATCGAAACCATTTTATTTATGTCTTGGAGTGCACAAGAAGAAATACCTATTGTGCCGTGCTAAGCAAAAAAGTCGCATCTGATAAATTATCGATTCTGAGATATTCCGTTCTTCTGTATGTATCAGTGACGTCCATTGTTTTGATCTGAAGCTTGTAATTTTCTTCATGAGAGTTTTTTTCCATGTCACAATTTATATCATATATGAATTTCATTGTTAATTTATCAATTTTTATGAAGAAAAATGCAGATTCAACATTTCCAGAGGAACAAATTTGCTAATAATGTCCAAGTATAATAGTATATTGTTGCAAAAATATTAAAATAAGAATATTTTTAGTGACGATGCTCGAACCACCACGTAAATCAATGGATCGTCTTGGAAGGCCATATCACGTAGGCCATATTGTCAAGTAGGGCAAATGCCTATGGAATAACATCACTCTATCTCTCGTTTTTTCTAGATCTCCAATCATAATTTAATCTTTCCAATTCAAAATATCCAGTTCAGTGTAGTTTCGTTCAGATCAGCGGAGTTCATAGATTTTAGTTCCTGTAAAACTTGCAAAAACGCTTACCGTGCGAAACTACTTAGGTAAGCTATACCGCAAAGTAGCGGTCATTCCCATTGCGGAAAATTGCAAACCAAGCATTGATTCCCAATATAAATAGAACAGTCATTTTGGAATGGATTCATTCATTATGGCATTCATTTTTTTGACTTCCAAAGTGGCACTATGCCACTTTGAGGGTGCGACACTTTGGTGGTGTGACACCTCCCCGTCTTTGGTTCTGCTGCCCAATACATGATGTAAGTACAAAAAGAACATCATATTGTTGTTCACTCGATACATGTTTGATTTTGCTGTTCCGCCTTTATGGCGCATTTTTATGTTTTCTTGATTCAATAAATTATTTGTTACACTTGAAAAACAATTCTCTTTATTTCGCAATGAATGCGGTTGGGTGATGAAATGCTGAAAATCCTCTCGCAAAAATAGCCAAGCGAGTACTCTGATGTTGACACATGAGGTAGAAGCAATGTCTGAGTTGCGCCATGTGGTGAAGGCCCATATCCCATATATGTATGAGTTGCGACACGTGATGGAGGTGCCGTTTGTTCTCAAAAATGTCATATCCCTAACAACACAGGGATGTCCTAGGTACGTCCCTTTTTTGTCCCGCGGTACAAAGACGATTGGGACATCCAGGGGATATCCCGCAGTGGTTGTCCAGTGGACATCCCGCTCGGTACATTCCTAGGTTATCCTATTCGTGTCGCTGGAGTATCTGATGATATTCATTCACATCAGAGTCATTGAATTTCATCTATTGAGTTGAATTTTTTTGAAAATGTTTGTTTTTCTTCCGGAAAATGATTGTAATGAAAATAAAGAATAAAATCTCAGAACTTCTTAAGATATTACCATTTTTCGCAGACAGAAATCGTTCCTACATGCATAATGCCCCTCATTTTTAGACACCCAAGAATGATAATAATTATACCCAATTCCTAACAAAGTTGTATTTATTCAGGTTTCTGTAGTTAAGTCCTGTTTATAAATCTGTTTAGTACATAAATCTTCAGGAGGCATGATAGCCAATGGAGCAGGGTGCGTGCAAGATCCCAGGTTCAATTCCTTCTCGACCTACAACGTTTTTCTTTTGTCGAAAGGATGTCCCTGGGATATCCTTGGGACGTCCTAGGGATATCCTTTCATCGTACTAGGTACATCCCAGGGACGTACCAGAAGGACATCCCTTGGATGCCTTTTTTTGCGGCCAGCGGACGTCCCTGGGACATCCCTAGTATGTACGTTGTCCCGACAAAGGACATCCCTGGGATGTCCTAGTATAAAATCAGAGACGTCCCTGGGAAGTCCCTGGGAAGTCCCTAGGATGTACTGGTGTTGTTAGGGATTACCTACTATATAGAACTATATGAGTTGCGACAATAACACTAGCAGATTCAGTCATTAGCATCATAATATCAGAAGAAACGGTCGTCGATATTGTATTTTAGGTACGGTCATCTTTGTATGTACAACCTGTCCCGTCTCCTGAGCTGAATGAATAAATGTGATTCAGTGTAGGTACCTAGGTATTGGATTTTTTGAAACTTTTGTAGATATTTGAAGTTCTTCATACTGTCTATGGCAAATAATTTCAAAGTTTTGCAATTCAATAGATAAAAGAGTCTTGGTAAAGAGTTGTTCGACATAAATTCTAAAACATAACAAAACATTAATTTACTCCATTCAATATCAACATTACAATTTTGATTTTACAACGTCTACTCATAGGGGCACCATGTATCTTGGTCCGGGAAACTGATGGGCATAGTCAAGATGTAAGGTCTCATCAGAACCCAATCAGTCCATATCGTCTGTGGATTCCCCTTCTAAGGTATACCTAGGTTGTACGATTTTATTCTTCTTCCTTCTCCTGTTAACAACCCCATCTTCTTCGTCCATCATGCGGACTATGAGCATCTGATCACTCGTGTCAAGTGGGGCTACTGAGATATCACGAACTGCTCGAAATTTCCCGCAGTTGTTCAGATGCTCATTCTCTAATCTGAAGAAGTTCCAGATGAATCTCCTAGAATTTGAAAATTCGATAATGTCACTCATCTGTCGGGGAAGTTTTCAATATTCAGATTTGTATTCCTCCGTGAAGTTCATGAAAAATGATATACGAGTTTTTTATTATCTCAAAAGTTAAATAAATACAAGAAACTCGAAGTCATCTCCACACAATGTTCATAAAATGAACAACAATTTTAGATTTCGGGAGAAAAACAACTACTTTTCCTGGCTAACGCCACGCAGAACATTGAATTTCATACTCCCGAAATCTATGCATCGGCTCGTATAAACGAATACTGATACAAGTGATTATTTTCTGAATTCAAGTTTATTCTCTTCTCAGTTCGAATACAGTCAATATACATTCAGTTTATGATAATCTCTGGTTTATGACAACCCTTCATATGAGAGGATGGATGCACCTAAGTATCTATAATACTTGTGTTACGCTTTCCATCCACCTTTCAGGGTACCTATTCCAAAATGACATTATAATCAATTCAACTATGGCAGTTTCAGATTATACAGTGTCCCACTTACCATGCTCACCATGGGTATCTTTTTAACGGTAAGAGATACGAGGTCGGTTAAATGACACTAAATGTGGAGTTTGTCAAGGCCAACTATAATATGAAAAAATATTTTGATAAAATCTATTCGTTTTTGTTTTATACGCAAAAAACAGATTTTGATCATTTTCATGTCTCCTCCGTAACTTCTTTATTTATGAAAATATTCAAATAGGAATTTCACATTCTCATGGAAGTTTTTCAAAGTTATTTCGAAAAAAATATGAAATTTGTGGATTCATTTATGAACACCCATATCAAACATTGTTGGACAAAGAGGTCTCTCGATTTCAGTAATTGCGTTTCCTTATACAGATAAGAAGAAAAAAAAAACACTCCAAAACCAAAATACTCCCGTATTGATTTTGGCTGGTTGTTCGACTGGCGTAATTTCTACCACGAAATAGCTAAATCGAAATCATTAGGTATTCAGGAAAGGATCACTCTTATCAGTATTCGTGTATACGAGTCGATGCATAGATTTCGGGAGGAAAGCAGTTGTTTTTCTCCCGAAATCTATAATTGTTGTTCATTTCATGAACAGTGTGTGAAAATGACTGAGCTTGTATTTATTCAACATTTCAGTTCACTTTGAGTATTGTGGCTATTTCGTAGTTGTTATCTCAAAAGGCTGAGAATTTACAACAGAAAAAAAAATCCAAAGAAGTAGTTTCAGCACCTTCACCATTCTGCTCACGTCATTGGTGAACTGCCATGTTCACACAGAGATAATACGCGATTTTCCTAGCGCGACTGCGACGCTGCCGAGTCCATTTATATGTATTTATATGAAATTCTGTGTATGTATCAACTGCATTGAAACTCTATTTTAATATTGGCTACTTCATATGGAATGACATTTATAATTTGATTTTCTGGTAAGTCGAAAAGTATAAACCAAATTATTTATAGATGCCTGATGAAATTACTCATCAGGACGAAAGTTCAATCTTGAAATGAATAGAATCGAAATAAAATGATAACTTGAAGAGGTCCTGAGTAGGGTTTCATTGTTTCAAAAAAATTTGTATATTTCAACTGGGCAACCGCTCCCAAAACCAGTTTCACACCAAACCATGATGAAAGTTGCAAATTCATTTTGTTCACACGGTCTAGTATTTTCGTTGTATTCGCACTTGTTGATTATGATCGAGTAGCTGTGATTCTAGTTGAATTATATCTATAGACAGACATATATAATATTCTCGGATGTCACTGATACTCAGCAACAAGCCTAAACTCATTTTCATTATTTTTCACTTCATTCATTTTTCAGAATAAACTCGTATATAATCATTATGAGTAAGTGTGACATCTATCTAAATGATTTTGTAGTTGGTGGACATGCGCAAATGTATACCTTCCTGTCCTCAATTATACGCCTTGCCCTATGCATACATTATGTTGATTGAATAGTTCATGCTGATGAGCACCAATATGAACAGAATTGTGTTTTATTGAGGGATCAATCATCACAGTAAGCTGAGTGAAACTTCTTATTTTTTTCTTTTTTTTTCAGTTTGGGCGAAAGTTCACATTTCTTAATCACTCTATAGTTCGAAAATAAAAATGATTTGAATCCTTTCAATTGTCATTATAGATTGCAGAAGCATAATCATATTCAGTGTGAAACTAATTTGATGAAAATTCATCAGAAGAAAACTTCCTCATTTTCCAATTCATTTTCGTGGATTAATTGATGCTCACTCAAAGGACAATTATCAATCTAACAGATCTGTCGCTTGGCTAGTGCTATTGTATAGTTTTCTGTAAGACACAATAGCTTTAGAATTTTGAGTGTGTTTGAACCCCCCATAGTTATACTACTAATTTTTTTCTAAAATTTGTATGTCGCTATTTCTAAGTTGGAAACCAACTCCCCAGAAAACAAAACTTGTGAGTGGTTAGGAAGAGCGGACCTTTAGCTTATAGTGGAATCCGAACCATTTCTAGGGCGCTGAGATACTTTGTAAACATACCTGAAAACTTCGAGAGGTGCTAATACTGTCACCATTGAATTTTCTAACGCATATCCCATTTCTGTCATGGATATCAAGATCGCCCAGCCAAATCTCAGGATCAAGTCTTCAACAATTGCGAAGTAATAAAACCACTGAAATAAACACACACAATAAAAATTAAAATTGCATTGAGAATTTTCAATAGTGATATACCGTTGAAGAATATACTATCTCTTCGCGCAGGAATTTGTTGTCACCTGCTTTGGGGTCAAACAATCCCCAGTCTAGTTTTATATCCCAAGTATATGCATAGCAAGAGCTGATAATTGATGCAGCTATCCATAAATAGAAGAAAGGACTGTCTCCGTTAGCTACAAGTAAAAGATTCGGTAAACATAACTGAGGTATGACGTTAACACTACCAATTTACTTTCTGTAACCATAACCAACCTGTGGCATACATTTTGTTGAGAGCTGAGAAAATTATAACGAAAAAGGACGTTCCATATTTAGCTGCATTGACTATGTGAGGAAAAGCTTCCTTTGTGTCCCTGTATCTCCTCAGGCACTGAGCAAACCTGAACCATGGTGGTAAACAAGTTACGAAAGCCCTGAAAGCGAGGAAATTTTCCACACAATATTTAGCATCTGTAAAGAAAAATATAAGGAGTAGAGTGTATATCCTATTTCTATATTTCTCTCGATACTTAAGAAAATATACTTACTTTGGCCTTCTGACCAACTGGTATTGGTTAAGTAGAAGCATACAAAATACTGCATATCCGTGAATAGTGTCATCAAACTGTTGAGCTGATCAGCCACCCAAAAGTCGGCAAAAGATACGTAGAAAAATGGAGCCATTACTGCTTTTCCCTGAAAGAGAGTTCAACATAACATCGATCGTCTAAGTCGCTCCTACATATTTATCTCTCATGCTTTTCTAATCCAATCCACTTGTTTGAATCAGTCAGTATTGCAACTCATTTGATGGACTAGTCCCCAGCAAACACAACATATCTATGATATCGCTGAGATATCACAATCCGACATATCCTCAGCTATACTTTTTTTATATGGATGTACTTTCCTGCTGTGACGTATCGTTCTTGGGATATGAAAAATAATTGAAAAAAAGGAACCTTCTACGTCGCTCCCTGCACTTGGCTCACCTTGTAAGTTCTTTTTTTTATGTTCTGGTTCCCACGAAAAGGGATATCCTGTAATGTTCAGAGAATATCGTGAAAACCCAGAGAAATAAGGTAGGAATTGGTGTTCTTAAATTTCTGGAGGTTATATGCCTCGGGGAACACCTCCATTGGCAATGTGTTCCAGAGCCTCGCTGTTTGTTGGATGAACGAATCTTTGGAAAGAGATGTTCTGCAGGTCTCCAAAGTGACCACGAAGGGGTGCGAAGCCTCAACTCGACGGGTTAATCTCGCGGGGACTGTCAAGGGAGGAACAATTGTTGATATTTCAGAAGAGCATCGTCCATGAAAATATATATATAAAATAGAGCCAGATCGCCAACTTTTCTACGGTGTTCCAGAGAAGTGAGTGAGTTTGTGAGCGAGGCATCACCCACGAGACGAATTGCCCTTTTTTGGACAGAATCCAACAGTTTCAGGGTATGTTCGGGTGCTGCACTCCAAATATGGAAACAGTATTCCAGGACAGGTCGTATCTGTACCTTAAAGATCATAAGCAGCTGATTGGAAGTAAAATAGCTCCTGGCCCGAAACAGAAAACCAAGTTTTTGGGATGCACTGTTAGCAATTGATCTCACGTGATTTTCAGAAGAAAGGTTATTGCTGATAGTAATACCAAGCATCGAAATGGATGTCTTCAAAGGTACGGTTACTCCTGACAAGTTTATGTTGGGCACAGTGATATCGGCTTTTCTAGAGTGAAGGCATGTTTGCGTTTTGTTTGCATTGAAATCTACCAAGTTATTGGATCCCCATTCGAGAATTGTTGCCAAGTCCATATTTATGTTGTCAGCATTTCTTCCTCGTTCGTTTCTGATTTGCCTGGCTGGTATTGAAGCATAGGAAGAGAAGGCGGTATGGAGGGTACTATCATCCTTGAAGCTGTGTACAGGAGTAGAAATAGTGTTGGTGCTAGAATTGATCCTTGCGGAACACCAGCATTTATGATAAGAGGGTCAGATGAAACTCCGTCGACCACTATATGGAGAGACCTGTTTGAGAGAAAACTAGCTAGCAGAGAACATTTGGACATTTGGAATTTTCACTACCTATCTACTCCGAAGTCCGAACATATCCCTATAGTCTAAAAAAAGCTGTCCTCTTCTATGTTCTTCACACCCCCTTATTGGGCTTTGACTGAAGTAATATTGGAGCAAAAAATGAATATCGCAGTGATACCTTTACTGCAAGGAACAACCTATATCTTGAAGATATCGCATAATGTGTTTGCTGGAGTTACATTCCAGAGTCTATTCTAACTTACCATAACCCTCAGAGCCCAAAATCTAGCTTCGTATCTGAAGGTCCTAGTGGGATTGACGACGAACAAAACCATAACTACGATCAAAGCCAAGGGACAAGCGTAGGCAGGAACGCCGAGCTGATCGCTGTAGATGAACGACAACACCGAAATGGACCAAATGACCCCGAAAACGGCGGCCATTTCGATGATGTGCTGCTCGGAAAGATGGTTCCTGGGGTCCATTTCGAATATCAAAACGTGGTTGACGCCTGAGGACCGCCAGCCGTATATGTTGATGCCCCACAAGAAGAGGAACTCGATGATGAGGAATGGGCCTCTGTAGAGCCTTATCACTATCACCCAATCATTCCTTTCGCGGAACAGTCCTGAAGAAACAATTTTTATCTAGTCACTGAATCGAAAGTAGGCGTTAGTTCCCTCATTTAGGGAAACAAAGTTGTCAATTTACTCCCACGGGAGGAAAAAAATATCAACTCCTGTGGGAGGTAAACTAAATTGGCTTCAGCATGCATCATTTAGCGTCGATATACCTATAGAATCTGTGCAATCTAAGTAATCAGTGTCTTTATCACTATTATAAAACAAGTAAGAATAATATATTCCAATGATGTCATACGCTTCTTCATATACTGAACGTAATTTTAATCAAAACTTTCAAATGCAGTTGCATAATATACAGATCAATTAGTTCATGATGACATAATTGTCAAATTGACTTTTGTTCAAATGCCTTCAATTGTCCATGGCATCCTATATCTTTGAAATGATTTGGATCGCTGATAAAAGCATATATACAGGGTTGGGCAAAAGTATGGAAGAAGGTGAATATCTCAGTAACCGTTTGTTAGATTTTTTTGAATATATGTACAGGGTGATTTCAAAACGTGGTGGATTTGAAAATGTTATCGTCGATGTTGCCACATTTTCAGTTATTCCGGAATTAAAAAAAATATATATTTTTTTGCGAATATTTCTGGAACCGTTTATTGCACAAAAAACAGCTTTCTTAAGCATTTTGTACCTATAATAAGCTATATTTTGTGCGGATTTTTTCTTATTTTTGGGTCATAATTGGTGAAGATTTTGAAGGGGTAGTAAGTGTTTTCCTCCCCAACTTCTACGCCACTGGAAAAAGTTCAGTTTTCAGCAACCTATTTGAACTGCCAATATTTCCTGCTCAAAAAAGTTACTCTTGGAAAAAGCTAATCGCGTATATTTCCAACAATTTTCAATTCTACTGAGTATGATTGGCTATTTTTTTTTTTTGTAAATTTTGTAATATGAAGTTAACCTCTGATGGTTCTGTTACTCGTTCTGAGGTCTAAAAAGATTTTGTTTGATTGGTAAAAACATTTGTTTTCACAAATTTACCATGATTTTCAACATGAAAGTTGATTTTTCTCAAAAACTGCCAACTTTAGAGCTCATGACCAAGAGTATCTCTTTTGTGTAGAAAACATTAGTTGTTCAAATGGGCGGCTCGAAACTGTATTTTTCCAGTGGCGTAGCACTTGGGTAGAAAACTATCCACTGACCCTTCGAAACCATAACTAATTATGACTTTAGAAATAGCTTATTATGAGTTGAACATGCTTACGAAAGATGTTGTCTGTACGAAAAACGGTTCCAGAGATATTCGCAAAAAACGATTCTTGTTCAAACTTCAACATCCTGTATCTCAAAAATGGTGCATTCTAGAGGGTGAGTTAATAGAAACTTTTTTTCATATTTTTGAACGAGCTATATGAGATCCTGGAATTCTGCGCATATATTATGAAACACCCTGTATGGTTCGTGTATGTTTAATTTGTTTTCTATTTGAAAAAATGCATCTCATGTTCATGAATGCGTTAATTAAACTTTCGACCTGTCCGATCTTGCTACAGGTTATTTCAATCCTTCAGGTTAGGCAAGTAGGATATAAAAGTTAGACAAGTCAATGTAAGTTCAGTTCATTGTACGAGTATTTTACTAGAAGAATCTACTGTGTTAGCGAAACAATGAAAAAAATGGCGCTCAAAAGAATATAAAATATTGACGGCTATAGTTGCACATGAAGATCTTGTATGATATTCACCTGACAAAATGACTGATACGAGAAGCACTATGAGCGCTCCGGAGAACAACCCTACTTTGAAGGTCGTCCAAGGGCTCTGATGCTCCCCGAGGGGAGGCACCCTCAATCGCTTCATGGCTCGCTGTCTGTCCCCACCTTCGAGCTCTTGAGTCACCGCCGTCTCTGTTTCTCTTATCAGACGGTCTATGTCTTTGTTCACGTGGAAAAAGGATCCTTCCACGTGTTCCACTCTCCATTTCGCTCCGAATTCGACGGACAACAACTAGATGGAATAAACAATGTTTTCTTCTCAGTCTCATTCTTCATCACTTATGGATAATAATATTACGTATTTCGGTTATGGTATTGAAATTAGGGTGATTTCTCGACTGGTTCCATTTATTTTCCTATGTAGATTCAATCTTGTCAAAATTGAGTACCAGTGGCTGAGAAACTGAGAAACCGAAGATGGTCTATGTCTTTGTTCACGTGGAGAAAGGACTCTTTCCACGTGCTCCACTCTCCATTTTGCTTTGAATTCGACAGACAACAGCTAGATGGAAGAATCTTTGCATACTACGTATGGATCAGAATGTTATGTATTCGTAGAACTGACATTGGTGTGATATTATTATCTCGACTGATTGAGTACATTAGTAGATAGCCTATAGGGGTTCTGGTCCAAAATTATGTTATGTGGATTCAATCTGGTGAAAATTTAGTAGCTGAGATAACGGTAGGCATATATGTTGTAGTGAGAGTTTTGAAAGTTGGGCAAGGTGATGAAACGAAGATACATGGAGCATTTGACATATGATATAATCAGAACATCAGAATGATAGGATAAATAATCAGCCTAACAATGATCTGTCAAACTATGCACTAGTTGACATACAATTAAATTATTTATCTGTGATAAATCGTTTTTATATGTGAATTCCTGTTGGTATCAGGAGTACAAGTCATGTCATCAAAGAGTAAGTATCCAATTATTCTAATAACATTATTCTATTGATTTTATATATGGTGTCAACCAGGCGCCATATTGATTCTAACCTCTTTTGGATTGACTAATTACTGACATTCACTTGAGCAAGACACATATTTGCTCCTCCCAACTCTCTAAGTGAATACCTACCTCCTCTATATCTATGAAATGAAATAAGTGAATAGCACTCATTATAGCATGAAACAAGTTGACCTAGTGATGGGCACATTGCACCTGTCTCTTCAAAGTTAGTGCCTCCTTCCTTTCGTGAACACAGTTGTTCTATCACCTTGACCCAATCTGGTCTCACCTTTCATAACACATCTGCCTACTTCGGCTCCCTACCTACGGAATGTTCAATTTGATCTAGAATCCCCATAGCATATCTACTAACATAAAGTTTGTCAAATTCTGTAGTAGATCGACGGAACAAATCAAAACTTTTTATGTTCAAGCTCTAATACCTTTTCTGGATCAGAATGTTACTTATTCAGGTTATTGAATTAAAATGGAAGTGGTATCTTGATAGATCGGGGACATGGAGTCTGAGTTTGTTAAATAAACAGTTGTTGAGAAAAGAATCCGAACATTGAGTGAATCTCAGATACTGAATCGTACTGATAGTAGCTCTATACTGATGACGGCAATGACTTTTCTGGGTTTAAATATAAACTATTTGGGTGGTAGAAATGAGAGCTATATCTGGATTCATCATGACTCACGCCTAGTTTTCATGAGTAAACTCCTAACATAAATACTATATCAGTGTTTATATCACCCCACATTGAGCTTACCTTATCGTGTTTTTTCAGTATTTTACGAAAGCCAGTGAAATTGAGATTCTGGTAGTTCTGCAACAAAATCAAGCTTAGATAGAACTCGCTGAAGGCTAACTTGATTTCTTGAATTTTTCTGGCTGGTATGTTTTTCTTCCTTAGCAACTTGGTGCGCACTGAGTTCCTCTTACCTTTGAACTCAAGGTCTTGTGTTTCGCACAGTTCACTTTTCAAACTTGCATATTTCCTTGATGCCTCAGCCAATTTCTCTAAAAAACAACAGACGGAATGAAAACTGACGAAAAACGCACCACTGAATTATTTAATTTTTGGCATTACCTGAGTAAAAAGTGTTGATTTTGGTGAGTTCCTTGTCGCAGAAAGAGAAGAATTTTTCATCGAATTTGGCGAAATATCTAGTGGAAATTTCAGGTTCGACTAGCTCTGCAGAAGGAGCTTGTTCTACTGCAGCATACAGCATCGCTTTCATTTCCTAGAAAATTTGTACGTTTGAACTTCATAACATCTTTATCCAGAATTTATTTTTTTCCTGAATTCACAGGTATATATGAATACAGACATCCTTCTTTGAATTCGGACTTTTTTTTCGGATTCAGAGACTTTTTTCTCTGAATTCAGTTTTCTCTCTGTTATGTGTCCGAGTTCAAAGGAAAAGGTCTGACATAAGAACAAAAAATTTAACCCAGAGAACAAAGTCTGCGTTCATTGAACGAGTCTGAATTCGAAGAAAAATATGTGATGTCATAGACAAAAAGGCTGAATTCTAAAAAATTTGGAATTTGATGAAGAGAGTGTGAATTCAAAGACAAACAATGAATTCAAGGAAGAAAGTCCGAATCCAAAGAAAAATGTATCTGAATTGATATTAGATACACAAATGAAATAGTTATTGATGTATCAAGGACGTAAAATAGACTTTTGTGGACCGTAGTGTGAATAAAATATGCAGGGCGATAACGTAGTCCACGGGTGTTGAAGTGCCACTTTACGATCGCAAAACCGGGCAGTAAAGTGCTAATTCACGCTCGGTCGTGCATAAAAATATTCCATCCACAGTTTTCCCCCCCTCCGTGAGTTACATGATCAGAAAAAGTAAATTCACAAGAAAATAGTTATTTTTCTGCAACCGACACAAAAGTCGTCCATTTTGATACCAAAATTAGCTCTTAAATTGACGTTTCTATTACTGACACAAAAATAGGTAATAGGATCTAAAGTTGAATTTCAGTTCCTAGGAGCTAAAGTTGAACTTTAGCTCCTAGGAACTAAAAAGGATCTACTGGACGTCATCAAGAATAAACAACATTGTGACGGTTGGGTTGATTACCTGATACCTGATTTGTTTCCGATTTCAGCAGATTTGGCATTTCATACCCATGCTGGAGATATAAATACACCTTATTATAGTTCAGTATTGAAATTATAAACATCTCAGTTAACTATTTTTGTTTTGATCAGGGAAGTCTTCAAGATTCAAATACTTGCTTGATCTGTATTTCATTCGTTATTTTCGGGATGGATAACTTGTTTTCGAATAATCACGGCAAGCAATAGTTTGTTTGTCTCAAACAGCGATATTGTTTAGCTTCATTTGATTATCAAGTAAAACACAGTGTAGTCTTTTTTTATCGCTTGGAGCGCACGAAAGGGAATCCCTATAATGTTCAAAGAACATCGTGCGTTCCTAGGGAGGATAGGGACAGGGGTAGGTATTGGAATTTTTTTTGAACTTTTGAAGATTATATGTTGTTGGGAATACTTCCACAGGCAATGAATTCCAGAGCCTAGCCGTTCTATGGATGGAGGAGTCTTGATAAAGTGCTGTTCGACATCTTTCGAGGTTCACAACAAAGGGATGTGCTGACTGGGCTTGTCTAGTTCGTCTGATTGGTATTGCTAGTGAAGGGATGATAGCAGAGATTTCCGAAGAACATTTCCCGTGGAAGTATCGATAAAAAAGTGATTTTTCTCCAAGCGACAGGGATAGTGGCTTTTTCCTGCCCCTTAACAGGCAGAAAGGTTGTACTTTTACTGCCTAGGCAGAAAAAGTTTGTTGTTATGCAACGTTCCAAGAAATTCTAATGAAATCAGTAATCAAAATTGACACTGACATTGGGTGAACACAAAATTATGGAATTTTCAATAAAAAAAATCACACAAAATTGGTTCTATATCATTTGGAAAAAAAATTCTATGTTTCACACGGCAGCAAATGTAGATTGACTGCCATCAGCCGCGGTAGTCAATCTACTACTTTTCTGCCTAGTAAAACAAACAACAATAAGGAGAATAGGTATATAGAATCTTTTCGGGTGAGAACATCAAGCGTTTTCCCATTCAACAGTTTTCGATCTTATAGAAATACATTAATCCAAACAATGGTGCTGATTTCACTCATATTTGACCTTTGACACCTATCAATTATTCGGAAATTTCGAAAATAATATCTCGAATCAGGACCTGATAACAGTCACAACAGCTGCTGTTGACTTCGATTATTTATAATAATTAGCATCTGACTCACCTCGTAGTTGATATACTGTTTTCTCCATTCTGGTGTGATGTGAGCCGTCAGATGCTCAGCGAATTTCATCTTCTGGGCCTTATTCGGATCATCGACAGAGGATTTACCATTATTTTCCTACAATATAGGTCGCGGGAGCTTGTTGAAGCGTCGCGACGTCATTATTGGAGCGTCGAGCGCCGAGTGGCGTCTTGATTGACGTCGTGGGAGGTGAACATTCAGCATGCGTATTTCAGATATGCCAGAATTCCATTGGCGAGACAGGACTGGCTTCAGCCCAGTCAACTACCAGCTATTCGACAATGAACTCAATATAAACACCTTGAAGGGAGACTGCCGTTTTCTCGAATGTCAGGGGCAGCTGCAACAAAGATAGCTTGTGTTACGGTAACCTGTCTCTTTCATACTCGTTTTGTTTAATGGCGGATTGGTGTATAAATTTCCTTTTATCCAATGATTGGACTACTTGGGATCTTTTTTTTTTTCATCTAAACAGGCAACAAAGTGAAGACAGAACTGCATTGTGTTTTGTTATGTCAAATATCGCTGAATTTGGCGTGTTTTGTTTCTTCAAAAGGACTGAATTTGTTGGTGTGAATTGATTGTTGTTGAAAAGGTTTGTGATTTCGAATTAATAAACAATGGTTATATATGCATATATGTATGGATGCAGAACAAGCAAGACAAACAAAAATTGTCCTCCATGGGTAAGTTGAAAATTGTTCAGATTCTTAGAAAAACTATAGTACCTAATTTATTTTCAGGATGTGTCTGTGGATGTTTATAACTTGATGGACAATGTTTTTCATATGGACACTGATTTGCTTACAACTTCCAGCTCCCATGTAAGTTTATTGATTATGAAAACCACAAACTGTTTCATTCGAGAAGGCCTACTCTATTGCAAAGAAAAAGTAAAACAAAAAGTAAAAATGAGAATGACAATCTTGATGAGGAACTACAAAAACATTATAAAGGTAAAAACTACAAGTTCAAATTATCATCAAGAGCTACATCATAATATTGTCTTTTCAGATTTGTCTTTGAATTTTCTTCTTGCCCAGAAAGGAAAAAATGGAGGTGTACATTCTGGGCGACGCAGATATTCATCTTAAATGAATATAAATTCGTCCTTATATTGAACTTTTATTCACTTTTTATTCACCTTTCATTCACCTTCTAATAGTGAAATGTTTATTGAAAAATAGGTACTCTTGAAAATTAAGCTTATAATAGACCTTAGGTACTCGATACCAAGCAAATGCAAAATTCGTTTGTCAACCAAAGGCACTTTTGATCCGAATGAAACAGGTTTTTTTTCTGCAACCGAAACAATTAACTCGAATAAATATGTGAAGTAACCACCAATGCCGTGATATACAGGGTGTTTCAAAGAAACCTAACGCCCTTGCTAGGGTAGTTAGAACATTGCAAAATAAGTTGGGTTTGCTCTGTGAAAAAATGTCGTAACGGCATCCGTTTTCATGATACAAGGTGTTGAAAAAGTTATTTTTTTACACATATTTCACGATTATTTCGAAACTACTGGCAACATTGTAATGAAATTTTGTATGGATGTTTCTTGAAATCTGACACATCGCATGAATTTGTTTTGATATCTGACTCTCATAGAGGGCGCTAGTTACACGGTTCGTACCGTGTGGTTTTTGAACATAACTTTTTTGAGATTGGATTTTTCAATCCAAATATGATATGAACTTGAACATCATTCAATTTTACGCCAAAAAGGTACTCCTGGTGAAACTCGATACTATTTTCCGTTTTCGGAATATTTCGATTTGAAAATAAATGGAGTAGTAATGATGCTGGTATAAAATGAATTTTATTGAGTACAATTACTTATTTATTCAGGTTCAAAACCAATAAAATTATTCTTGTGCTGAAGTTATTGATGGAACAAAGAATCATAAGTGGACATTTAAGAGATATTTGACTAGAAACATGAAATATTGAATCAGTTTTTTTTTTATCGCTTGGAGCGCACAAAAGGGAATCCCTATAATGTTCAAAGAACATCGTGCGTTCCTAGGGAGGATAGGGACAGGAGGTAGGTATTGGAATTTTTTTTTTAACTTTTGGAGATTATATGTTGTTGGGAATACTTCCACAGGCAATGAATTCCAGAGCCTAGTGTTCAAAATGTCCTACGTTTCGAGGAATACACGATTCGATATTCTTGTTTTAAGAATGTATTATTCTTCTGAACAGTTGAGGATCAGCTGTTAGGTCATTTAAGTGATGTTCAATTATGTCTCACAACTCTTGACGTGAATTTACCTATGTAGCATAGACATGTAATCCATGTTCTTAGTCAAATCTGTTTCGATGTTATTCTTGTGATTCATTGTTAAATCAATGAGTTTAGCATCAGAAATGTATTGTTGTTTTCGGTTTTCAATAAATAGGTGATAATTTTTCATAATACTCACTCTAATACATAGCTTTATACCAGCAACAGTTACCTCTTCATTATTTTCAAATCGAAACATTCCGAAAACGGAACACAGTATCGAGTTTTACCAAGAGTATCTTTTTGGTGTGAAATTGAATGATGTTCAAGTTCACATCAAATTTGGATTGAAAAATCTAACCTCAAAAAAGTTATGTTCAAAACTACTCGGTACGAACCGTGTAACTAGCGCCCTCTATGAGTGTCAGATATAAAAACAAATGCATGCGATGTGTCAGATTCCAATAAACATCCATACAAAATTTCATCACAATGTTGCCAGTAGTTTCAACATAATCGTAAAAAATGTGTGAAAAAAATATTGTTTCAACACCTTGTATCTTGGAAACGGATGGCGACATTTTTTTACTGAGCAAACCCAACTTATTTTGCAATGTTCTACCTACCCTAGCAAGGGGGTTAGGTTTTTTTGAAACACCCTGTATGTATGCAATGCAACAAATAATCCGTGTGGTCAGAATATTCTACTTGCATTAACAGCAGGTCCAGGTTTATTCAATTTTCTAGGATGTTCGAATCGTTGTTTCAATATAAATACAATTACAGAGTAACATATCTGTGTATGGTCCTGGTGCTCTAATATAGCAAATACCGCGCCAGTGATTAGTGAGCATATCATAATTATTTCTCCCCATACTCCATTGTGTTTGGCTTGATAATCAAATGAAGATAAACAATATCGTTTTTTAGGACAAAAAACTATTGCTCGCCGTGATTATTCAAAAACAAGTTATCCTTACCGAGAATAACGCATGAAATAGGTTCAGATCGAGCAAGTATGTGAATCCTGAAGGCTTTCCTGATCGAAACAAAAATACTTAACTATAATTAAGGTGTATTTATACCCCCAGCATGGGTATGAAATGCCAAATCTGCCGAAATCGAAAACAAATCAGGTATGCGTCCCAAGTCAGTATAATAGAAACGTCAATTAAAGAGCTAATTTTGGAATCAAAATGGACGACTTTTGTATTGGTTTCATAAGAATCAGAATTGTATGTACAAGAAACAAAATTCGAAGGGTTAAAGATGATAAGAAAATACTGGGAGTGAATATCAATACCTATATGGTACAAAATTATTCAAAGGTAAATAAATGCAAAACTTGTATGTATATTATTATTTAATGAACAAAAATATAAAAATGACTTATACTAGTACCTATACATATTTTTAATAGGTACTTTATATCGATATAGATGTCAAAACACAACAGCCAAATCTAAAAGATGAAAAAATCGAGTATATTTATTACCAAGAAATCAGTGCTCGGACTTGAGAACGTCCAATGTTTATATCTATACATATACAGGATGTTTCCGAAATTGAAGTAATAAATAAAATTATGCAGAAAAAACTTTTCCGAACTCATTCAAGTGCGGAAAAGTGAATTTCCGCACTTATAGTTAGGTAAACTAGTATAATCGACAACGTTTTCAATAAATCGATGAAAACAAAAGAAAAAGATGCGCTTGTTATCTATCTCCTTCCTGCATAATGATGTCCAACGTGGTGCCTTACTCCCCATTTGAAGTTTGCATTCTTATCGGTTTTGACAAACGTATGGACAGGTCCTGTCACGCCATGTCCATGTTCCCTTTTACCACGAGAACTACCATAATGTGCTGAAATCAGAAAGAAATCAAACTGAAATAGAGCATTACTTTTTGTCACATATTCATTAGCTTGGTAAATAATATGTTTGTAATGGAATCTTCGAACGTGATTTTGAACTACTTCAAAACGTCCAATTATATTGAAACTTCCCGTAGCGGAGGGAGACAAAAAAACCATGAGCTAAAAGCTAACATTCTTCCCGTGTATATTGAACTTTTTTTTCTGTGACAGAATAAACGATGATTCATATTGAGAAGATATTATACACATTATGATGAAATCAGAAAATTATCGAAATTTTTAACAGGTGTACTACCTGTGTTGCAGGCATCTTTTTGTATGCATCTTTATTAGTTTATTATCACTGTTATCGAATTCAAAAAAAGAAGAACAACTGCACTGACTGATTTTGGGCTATTTTTTATATTCTGGTTCCCACGAGAAGGGATATAATAATAATAATAATAATAATAATAAAGGTCTTTATTATTTTCCAAGTAGTACTCATACATTTTGTGAATAAAAATAAACATATTTTTGAAAATAAAGGGCGAAGTTCATTTTTCTGTAGAGAAACAGTAGCTTCACTACGAAAATGCTCTTCCACTTAACCCTGATACAGTGTGCCAAGGAGAACATGGTGTGTAGTCTTTTGATTGACAATAGATAGTGGGAGAAAAGTGACAGAAAAGGAATGAATACTTTCATGAAATTTTCTATAATTTTTGGGCAGCGAGGTAGAGGAATATCTAGACTTGTGTTTTGAATAATTTATTTTTATATTCAGATCTGAAGCAAGTAATGTTGAGGTTCTTTATACTTTCAGGAACAGAGTTATATAACTGATAAATTTGGTAAGTGAAGGATCGCCTGAATATTTCAGTTTTAAATTTAGGTGGGGATAATAAACCTTTAAATCGTAGATTTAAGTTATGTACATCTGTCCTGAATGATATTTTGTGGTGCAAATATGTAGGAATTTTAATATACAGTTGTTAAGTTTGGACCATAGACGGGGGTCAGCGAAGTTGAAATGTGATAGAACTAATGCTTCACATAGTTTTATTTTGATATTCCGAGGAAATAAATGTCTGTTTCCGTAAATTAATTTG